CGCGGTCACTTCCAATGTGTGGGACTGCGTGCTCCTTCCGCCTGCCAGCCGCCCTCCGGGGCCAGAATGCGGGCCTATCTGTCTGCCTGTCTGTCCGTCCGTCGGTCCGTCCGTCCATCCGTCCGTTCGTCCGTCCGTCTGTCTGTCTGTCTTGGAAGTGCAGTTCCCGCGAGTCGCGTGAGGAGGAGAAGGAGACGGAGGAGAAGGGGAGGAAGAAGGGGAGGGAGAGGAACGACGGAGGAGGATGGAGGGATGAGGCAGGAGAGGGGGGGGGAGGCAAGACTTAGAAATGAGGAGGGAAGGGGAGAAGAAATGATGATGCTGATGATGATGATGCTGATGCTGATGCTGCTGATGATCACGAAGATGATTATGATGATGATGTTGATGATGATGCTGATGATGACGATGATGATGCTGCTGCTGCTGATGATGATGATCATGATGCTGATTCTGATGCTGATGATGGTGATGCTGATGCTGATGCTGATGCTGATGCTGATGATGACGATGACGATGACGATGGCGATGACGTTTGTTGATCATGATGCTGATGCTGATTGTTGATAATGGTGAGGATGCTGATGATGAGGATAACGACGACGATGATGATGCTGATGATGATGATGATGATGATGATGATGATGATGAGTATGAGTCTGATGATGATGGTGATGATGATGATGATGATGCTGATGATGATGATGATGCTGATGCTGATGATGATGATGATGATGATGTTGATTAGATGATGATGATGATGATGATGATGATGATGGTGGTGGTGGTGGTGGTGGTGGTGGTGATGATGGTGGTGGTGATGATGATGATGGTGATGAGGGTGGTGATGGTGATCATGGTGAGGAGAGGATGTGGAAGAGGAGGAGTAGGAGCAGGAGGAGGAGGAGGAGTTGGCTGAGGAGGAGCAGGGTGATAAGAATCAGGTGGGTGGGTCTCTGGCGTAATTACAGTTGGACCGTGTTTGTGTTTCTCAATGTTTGTTAGATGGATGTATGCTTGCAGTTGGGGTCCCAATCATCAATGGAGGTTATTCGTGGTCCACTCCGCCCTGGACACTCCCAACCCCTCGGGGAGGTGCATCCCTTCCTGTTGGAGGGGAGGCCCATGGCTGTGACCAATGTTGCTTGAGGGCTCACTTTGCCTCCCCCCCCTGTGGCGCTCCATGCTGGGAGCGTTGAAGCCTATCCAGTGTGCGCGCCAAGCGAACGGAGCGATCTGGATTCGGGACCAGATTGCCACAAAAAGGGGCACGGGTCATTGCCTCTTCCTGCGCCGCGGGGGGGGTTGGACCCCGGGGAGGGTGCACGGAAGGTGCACCTTTCTTCTTCACCCCGGCCCATTCATCTACTACATGATCCGGCTTGAATAAGGAACACTTCTTTTTCAAAAGGGGCTCGGCCGTTCCTCTGGTATGCATGCGTTCTGCTACCTTCTTGGCGGCGAGCCCCCCTGGTGTTCCTTCATATTTTGGACGCGCGGGTCCGTTCCCTCGGACTTCGTAGACTTGGAAAACAAGGTGTTTGCTACCTTTTTGGCGGCGAGCCCCCCTGGTGCTCCTGCAGATGTTGGACGCGCGGGTCCGCTCCTTCGGGCTTCGTAGCCTCGGAAAGAAAAGGGGCTTCGCTCCTTACTCCAGATTTCGTAATAAAAGGGAGGGGGTCTCAACCCTCTCAGACGAGAAGTTTCAGACCCCCCCCAAAGGGAGAACCCTCCAAAACATCGTCCCCAGACCCCCCCAGGCCTTCCAAGATAGCCTGGAAGCGACCCCCCCCGAAATGAGACCCCCCTCCCTTTATTACGACATCTGGAGTACTTCTCGTTCCTCGGGCCAGGCCGACTCCTGGAGGTCACCCTCGGCGGCACGAAGCCAGTCACGCCTCGCGCATCGCGGCCTGGGCTGCAGAGGCGACTTCCCTCAGGGCGGCGGCGCGAGGGCGCGAAGACAGCAGCGCGTCGCGCATCGCGTGGCGCGGTGCGCGAAGGCAGACGATCTGGGCTCAAGTCGGGCCTGTCCCTCTACAGGAGGAATCTTCAAAACCAGTCAAGAAGTAGCCTGGGGACGGCTTTTTGACTATGTTTGATTATTTTTGGAATATGCTTGGAGTATGTTGGATCGTTTCGTCCAAAACCCGCCTGTAGGGGGACATGCCCGACCTACATCTAGGCTCATTTTCGGCGGCGCGCCTGGAGGAACAGGAGAAGGAGCAGGCCTTCTGCAGAAGGCGGTTGGGCTTCTCAGAAGCCCTCACGCCTTCTGACCAATTTTCTGTGCCTTCGGGGAATACCGAAGAGAGGAACACGAGAAGCAGCAGGCCTTCTCAGAGGGCGGCTGGGCGTCTCAGAGGCTCTCGCGCCTTCTGGGCAGCTTTCTGTGCCTTCGGGCGAGAAGGCGCAGCAACAGCTTCTCAAAAGGGCCGAGGCCTCTTCCTAGCCTCCCGAGCAGGCCCGCCCCCGCGTCACTCTCCCCCCCCCCCGCAGGAGGAGGAGGAGGAGGAGGAGGAGGAGGAGGAGGAGGAGGAGGAGGAGGAGGAGAGGAGGAGGAGAGAGGAGGCGGACGAGAGGCGGGAGGAGGAGGAGGAGGAGGAGGAGGAGGAGGAGGAGGAGAGGAGGAGGAGGAGGGGGAGGAGGGGGAGGAGGAGGGAGGAGGAGAGGAGGATGAGGATGGAGGAGGAAGGGGAGAGAAGAGGTAGGAGGGGGAGGGAGGGGGAGGAGGAGGGAGGAGGGAGGAGGTGAGGAGGATGAGGAGGAGAGGAGGAGGAGGAGGGGAGGGAGGAGGGGAGGAGGAGGAGGAGGGAGGAGGCGTAGGAGGAGGGTAGGAGGAGGAGGGAGAGGGGAGGGGGTAGGGAGGAGGAGGAGGAAATGAGGAGGAGGATGAGATGGGAGGAGGAGGGGAGGTTGGAGGAGACAAGACACGGGAATTTAAGTACATGGGGAGGAGTAAAGGAGGAGGAGGAGGAGATGAGGAGGAGGATAGGGGAACAGAGGAGGAGGAGGAGGGGAGGGTGAGTGAAGGAGGGAGGATGATGACGGGGCAGGGGGGAGGAGAAAGGGGAGGGAGGGGGGGGGGGGGGGGGAGGAGGAGGACCCCCCCCTGGGCGACGGGCGGAGGCCCCCCTTTCGGCGGTCACCGGCCGACCGCGGCGCCGCGGAGCACGCGCCTTCCGCGGGTCCTGCTCTTCCTCCGCCTCCTCCTCCTCCGCGGGCGGTGGGGGCGAGGAGGAGGAGGAGGAGGGGGAAGAAACATAAGAGTAATACTAATGCTAAGAAGAAGAATATTAATTAGAAGAATAGTAAGAAGAGTATTAATAATAAAAATTGTACTAAGCATAATAATGAGAAGACGACGAGGAGGAGGTGGTCGTGCAGGAGGAGGAGGAGGAGGAAGAGATCTGCACCGATCGTTACCGCTGTCTTGCCCCATCCTTGTTTTACATGTATGGATCAACCCCACAGCGGCACCGCTGCTTGGCACTCTAGTTTGATCCCCCCTGAGGGGCAAACGCTCCTGGGGAGACATGGCTACGTCTGACAGACCCTGAAGCCACCAGCAATCAACAATCAGGAGGAGGAGGAGGACGAGGAGGAGGACGAGGTGGAGGACGAGGAGGAGGAGGAGGAGGAGGAGGAAGACGAGCAGGAGGAGGAGGAGGACCAATGTAGACCCAAGACGCGTCAACGATGTTTCAATACACCCTCCCTCCAAGATTCCTTTTCATAGATTTCTTCAAGAATGTATTCACTGCTGGAAATGTCTCCGTGAAAGGCAGCCGTCTCAGAATCCTCCATCGTGCCAAACACCACTGCTGGGACTTCAGCACCGCGAGTCAACGTCACTGGCCCTGCCGATCTAAGTCGTGCCAGAACGCTGTTTCTGGGACGCCAGTCATAAGACTCCGTGTTTTTTTGGAGGCTTGAGGCGACTGTGCGCGGCGCCAGGGCGAGAACCTTATTTGAAAAAGGGACCGCCCTCCATCGGTGAAACTCTCGCCAACTTTGCGGATGGATTCGCGCGGCGCTGAGGCGAGAACTACATTTTGGAAAGAAGCGCTCTCTATCCGTGTGAACTTTTGAAGCGAGAGTTCGCGGCGCCGCGGCGAGAGCTGCATTTTGAACAGAGCCCGCCCTTCATCCGTGAAGCCCTTGCAAACCTCTAAGGCGAATGTGCGCGGCGCGAAGGCGAGGGCCGCGTGCTGAAAGCGGCCCCCACGCTCCATCAGCGAAACTGCTGCATTTATTGTAAGCTTCAGGATCTTCAGTAGTGGGCAAGTCTCAGGCGGAACGCCCGGCCCGCCCTAACGACACGTCTCGGGGTGCGACGGGGACGAGTTATTTATAGAGAGAAGAGAGATGGAGAAGGGATGAATGAGGGATGAGGAGACAGAGGAGGGCGAGGAGGAGGAGGAGGAGGGCGAGGAGGGGGAGGAGGAGGAGGGCGAGGAGGGGGAGGAGGAGGAGGAGGAGGAGGAGGAGGAGGAGGAGGAGGAGGAGGAGGGTTGGGGGGAGCAGGAGCAGGCTCCGGACGGTGGGCACCTCCCAGAGGCGCTCCGCATTCCCTGCGGCCATCTCTTCCACGAGGAGTGCGTGAAGGATGCCTCCCCCCCTTCCCCTTTGCTCTAAGCCTCCCAGGTGGGGTCCGAGCAGATGGAATCGGAAAATCACGCCGCATCGCCGATGCATCGGCAGCGCGTCCCGATGTGGAGCCCGATTGTCTCCACGCCGACGTCGCCGATGCATCGACGACGTGGTGCGATCCTCCGACCCCATCTACTTCGACCCCATCCGGGAGGCCTCTACTTGTGTTCTGGAAGATTGAAATAGGTACAGAACGAGTGGGTACGAAGATCGACAGCAGTTGATGTCCACTTGGAGCAGGGCTGGCTGTCGGTGTCGCCGCGGGTCGTCTTCACAGCAACGGGCCGCGGACGTTGTCCACTTGAGACGAAGGGTCGTTTTCCCAACAGCGGCCGCTGTCGGTTTTGGACAACTTCCGCTGTTGGGCAGCGCGCCCACTTCTTTTGTCCGTACACACTTTGGGCGCCCGCATGTGCGTACCCAACTCCCGTCGCGTCGAGTAGAAATTCCACTGTGATTTTAGTTGTGTTGCAATGCTCGGCTTTGAAGGGCCCTCACCCGGCCCCCGGGGAACAGCCTGTCCCAGGGAACAGGGCTGGACCTGAACGGTGTTCTGGCGATTTCGTGGGCCGTTTTCGTTTCTCGACTTTCGTTTTGCGGCAAAGGCGGATAGAAGACAAAACGAGGGAAAACGAAAACAGCACGAAAACGAAACACACCGTTTGGGTTCAGCCCTCATGAAGAATGCACGGGGAACACGAAGGGAGGAGGGAGGTGCAGGAGGGAGTAAGGATGGAACCGTGGGCGGATAAGGGAGAAGAAGGGGCGGCGAGAAAGGAGCCTGAAGGGGGCTGGAGTGAGAGGACTTGCGGTGGTAAGACGCCCCTCTTGGGCGTAAAGCTGCATACGGTACCATCGGACGTACGATGATCGGTTCAAACGACAACGAGGGAATACGAAAACGAGGGAAAACGAAAACAGCACGAAGACGAGGGAAAACGAAAGCAACACGAAAACGAAACACACCGTGCAGGTTCAGCCCTGCCTGGGAGGTGGGCCAGACCGTTGGGGGTCCACGCTGCGCAGAGGAGTCGCGACGCCAGGGGCCCAGAAGGGCGTCGATCGGAGGAGGGACGGGCCAGACTGGAAATATGTGTGCATCCAATCTTCTGTTAGAGCCCCAACAAATGATGTGCTCTAGTTTTCTAGTTCTATTCTAGGCAGCTGACTGTCCGCACTGACAGCACTTTCACGTGTGTGAGGAGCTCTACGAGGTCCCCCAGCAGTAGCCTAGTTGACGGTTCACGTCTCGCTACCGCTGCTCTTCCCGGGGAGCCCTCGTCGCCACGGCTTGGGGGTTCTCGTGTGCAGTCTGGTCAGATCGTAGCGGTGGGTCCCCGCAGGCGAGGCCTTGACGTGTCCGCCGCCCCTGGCCGGGCCCATCCCGAGCAGTGGGGCGGCGCTCGGGCGTCGCGCAGCAGGGGGGGGGCGATATGAATGGGATCCGGGCCCCTTCGAAGGGGGCCTCTATGGGGCCCCACAGGGGGGCCTTTGGGGCCCGAGACGTGCACCTGTCTCCCCCCCCCCATTGATCGCCCCCCCCCCCTTCAGGAGGGGACGCTCAAGGCGCGCGCGCCCCGGAGGAGGATGGGGGGCAGGTGGGAGGAGGAGGAGGAGGAGG